GCTATGCACCTTGGTAAATAAGAGGAGTCCCAGTACACTCCCTCCTTCACAAGCCCATGGTTTAACCAGTGTTTCAAGTCACCCTGAACCTCTCGCCCTCCACTCACGTGCAGGAGATGACTGTCACAGCAACGACGGTACCTCTGCTTGAGCRTGTGCTCCTCCGTGCATGCACCTAAACAGGTCTAGATTCAGCAGCAGCACTTGCTTCCTCTATTTTGGTTCTTAAAAACATGGGAGTTTCATGGGAGTTGGGCTACAGGTTGAAGACAAAGCCAAAACATCGAACTTAAAATATCTGTGGGGCTGGTATTTTTGACAGTGTCTGGCAGCAATCTAGAATTCAATCCACTAGCCTCTGTGCTTCCCCCAGATTATGATTTATGTTCTGCAGTCTATGATCACATGCTGTGGAAATCCTTTAGGTTTTACCGATTATCACGCGGTGAAACATTTTAGATCCAGATGATGCCTCCTGCTAGTCTCCTTAATCCACATATTGGCCTCTCAGCAAAACTGCCTCAATTTACAGAATTTCTCACTGCAACGGAAAAGACTCAGATCCGGGCCATCTTTGACAGCTGGATCTGTAAGATTAAGCAGCCACGTCAAGTCTCCTTGTGATGGGAGGAGGCAGAGCAGTATGGCCCGTAAAATGCTGCTGTCTTTGGAGCAAACACAAAGTCAACACTGTCCCAGCACAGCTTTCAATCTGGGACAGGGCTTCAGAATACTATTGAAAGATGAAGTGACATATAATTTATCTGCCTAGCTACAGTCTAGGAATGTGTTTCTAGAATTCCTAGAATTCTTCCTAGGAATTCCTAGGAAGGAATGTGTAAATCTTGACAAGTACTAAGGTACTAAAGGCAGCCATTAGACAGGGTGGATATAGGCCAGACCTAACCACTGAGGTCTTGCAGCTGCGTAACTGGTGGGAACGTGGGCTGAGCAATGCCAAAGGATGCAGACTTGAAAGAGAGAAATGTTACTAAAGGCCTGACATGACACACTCTGTGCAAAGCAAAAGCAGAAGTACAATTAATGCATTACAAACCAAGGCAGTGGCAATCCATACAGGAGAACAGGTTAATCATAAAAGATGTCAGGAAGGACTAGGAGAGCTGAGATGAGCCAGGCTGCCTGGGTCACTAAGAGTGAAAGGCTTTGGCAGAAACTCATGAAATGACTGATGGAGTGAGGAAATCAATTTATTTAAAACTGATAACAGATTCATACTCTGCCACTGCTCATTTTGTATGGTTTGGCTGTCAAGTCTTTGGGGCAATCAGCTGTCACTTACTACATGTCTGGGCAATACCTAGCAAATTCAATCTCACGCCGATCATAGCTTTTCTGCACTGTTCTAATAGTAAGCACTAGCATAAGACTGTTCTGACACACAAATGCAAAAAGGGCTCAAATAAGGTCTTCAAGGCARTCTTAATTCCAACACATAATTTGCTGGCTTTGCTGTAGCTGTAATAATGCCTCTTGCCTACAGTCATGCACTACCCAAGTGCAATGCCAGCACTGAATCCAGAACCAAAGCAAACACTGGTGCTGCAGTGACAACAAGGGCATCTTGGCAGCTCCCGCGTGGTATCGGCACGTGAAGCTGCAATGCAGAGAGCTCTGAGGCCTGGGCTTGGGGCAGTATCAGCCAGAGACTGGATACACGACCAGAGATCCTCACAAGCCTCCTGCTGAGCAGCAAATGCAACCCATGCTATCCAAATCCAGGTGTGTGAATTTGGTCCTTTTGCCAGTCCTCTGACTTGCCTTCCACAACTCAGTGAACTTTCAAGATTCTGGACAGATGCTAAAACTCCATCCGTTGCACCAGCCTGGGAATGGGCATTCCACAGGGATTCAAGTGCCCAGATAAGTGTGAAACACATTAACTATTCTGAATGTTTCGCTCACACCAGCTGGAAAAGAAATATGAAAAAGAAATAAGTGTTTTTGCACAGTTTTCAGCAGGCTGGAAAGGATGTGAGGTGTATCAGGAAAGCGAGAAGAGGTTTCAGTGGAAAGACACAAATTCAAGGACCTATAAAGTAATTTAGAACCTTCTGTGTTCTTCTGTGGCTTTTGTGTGCTACRGAGGTGAGATCAGCAGACCCACTGAGAGAAAAAGGACAAAAAGGAGAGAGAATAAATAAATAAATGATTCAAGGCACAAATACTATTAATGTTGGCAAATATGTAAGCTTCATGAAATTACAGCTCTACTAAATGCTGTTTATAATACTAAATGCTACTTATACCATATGCTGATTCAGGAAAGAAGAATTTAGTTTGAAGAATGGAAGTTTAATTATGGTAAAACAAAATTTTCCAATAAATTTGGGATAGTTCATAGCTTGCTCTCTTTCAGCATTCTGCAGCACTATGTCCCTGAAGCCTCCTGCAACTCGGTGCAAACTTTACCATACTACGTGGCCTTCTCTAGTCTCTAAAAACAAGAAGCTTTTCTCAAAATGCTGTTTCAGAAGTCACCAAGTGAGCAATTCACCAAGTAAGCAGTTATAAATTTTCACTGGTCAGGGCATCCTACAAACATGCTAGAAATTTATGTAGGAGACACGTCAACAAATTTGAGTTTGACAACGAAAAACGGTTAGAACCCACACATGCAAACAGCAGGTTTTGATGATATCCAACTGTGTTTAATATCACAAGTGCAATTCTAACTAGCTATAAAAAGAAAACGCAGTTCCCTGTACATATTCAAGTCATAGTTACTTTTGTTAAAAAAAAAATTACTGTCTTGTATTCCTGTACTGGATGTAATCACTGATAAAGAGGGGGTCAGGCTGAGCCGAGTGTCCTCCCAACACCCCAACCACCTTCCTTTCCACCCAAGGAAGCCAACAACTGAGAACAGGGCTTGTGTCACACTGACTCATGGCCAACGTCGTGCTCAGAAAGCAGTATTTTTGGTGACCACATGCAAAGGGGAGTGGAATCAAACAGTGCTACGAYTGCAAAATTGTCAGGGCTAGAGGCATCTTTCACTTGCAAATTATCAAAGATGCCAAGGTCTTTCTCAGAAGATGTCCCGAGGCCCAAACTGCACAACCTCAGGGCCATTTTCCAAATCATATCACTGGTACTGGAAGTACAGTGAATTGAATTTTAATAGGGAGCAAAGGTCTGTTTGTACATAAAATAAGAATGTCATTAMACAAATCCATATAAAATAGAGATAACACTTAATAGGTTGCTTCTCTRATATCCTACTGATGCTTTCTCTATCATATTTACTTAAGGGAAGAAGAGTTTGGGAAGAGAAGAGAACTATACCTCTGATGACAGGAGGGCACAGCTTTACTGCCATGAGTTAGCTCTGCAGAATGAGCTCCTCAAAGATTATGGTGACTGTGCATCATGTGAAGGAGTCAGCTGGGCTCCTCTGCTTGCTTCCCTAATCCCATGCATCTAAAACATCCCAGAGGCCAGAACGGCAAGCAAAATAYGAGAAATGCACCTGAGAAATCAGAAACTGCTGCATGACTCAACTGATAAAAATACTTTAAAAAACAGAGGGTGTAAAAGAAATAAAATCACTGCAAACGGAGATTAAAATCAGAAGAAAAACATAGGATGTTTTTGACTAGTTCATCAATCGTGAGAAAAAAAAACAAACAAAAAAACCCCAAACCAGATACACAGTTCTTCCAACTAGAGAGAAATTGTCTGTTCTTTCATTTACTTTCCACTYTCTCTCCTCAGCTACTCACTCACCTTTCTGTAACTTATACCTCCTCGAGGAATACCAGGAGGTAGCCCTTGAGTTCCGATCTCATTTGCTATTACGCTCATCACAAGACATAAACGAGCACAACTCGTGGGACTCGCATACCTGGCATTCTCCACACCAGCGGCTGAAAAGTCATCTGAAGCTCTGCATGGGCTTTTTCATTTATGGCTATTAAATAACTTGGAGAGGACTTGCCAAGCTCAATCTGCAACCCCCCTTGGGCTTTGTAAATAATAGACTGACAGTCTAATGGTCTAAGTACAAAGACAAAAGAGAAAACACTACAGGCTTTTATGTCTGCATAGGAGGGGTCAAGGACTAGAAGAACAAGGACTGTCAGCACTGAGGCCCTAAAACACAAGCGCGCAAAGCAAAGCAAGGCAGGCAACARGTGAAATATGGACGCACCAGAAGAGCAGCAACTGGAACTTGCCAGTTGAGTCCCRCTAAAAAATAAATGCTGCTAGCAACCTCACTTGTAATATAATGGAATGTTTTAAAAAGGGAAAAAAAAATAACCCCCCACCAAGGCAAACGGGGGCTACCAGTTCCTTAATCAGCTGTTAAGGGCACAACTTTCTACCTACATAGCTGTGGCCACTTCTTTCAAAACTGTCTCACTTCTGCAGAGCAGGAATCAGGTAGTAGGTCAGCACTTAATAACCATCCTAGATGCCAGAGAGCACCTTTAACTCCTACCCATTTCCCTTTTAGTGTCAGTGGACTTGTCCAGCAGATAAGACTTGTGGAGAGGGAACGAGTGCGGAGCAGGAGGCCGTGGCAATGAAGCAGTGGAAGCACCAACTCCTTTCCACGGATGGTGAGGCCCACCTCAGCGGTGGCATCCAGGAGCACAGGCAGAGCAGAGGGCTCCCGGCATCCCGGAACTCTCTCCCTCGGGGATGTGTCTCTCGCTTGCTCTCAGAGAGGGACAAACCTCAGGCCATGCAGTCCTGCTCCACTCGCATACCCTTCCACAACGCAAATTTCGTGTGTCCCTTACAGCCAGCTTGCTAAACCTAATGAGGTTAAAAAAAAAATGAGGCCAAATAGTTACGGTTATAGTCTTATTTAAAAATACAGAGCCAGACGAACTCCGGGCAATTATGCCTAGCTCTGGAAGTTACAGAGCAAGCCTTGCCTAACGTGCCACATAGCGGGAGCATTAGGGCCGCRCTGCGGAGCGCTCTGCCGGGACAGCGGCAGGAGCCACCGGACGCGGGGCAGCACCCCACATGTCTGGAGGGGAACGATCTGCGCTGGCCGGCTCTCCTAAAGCAGACAGAGACCCCCACTTCACTCTAGGAAGCTGGCAACAGTGGACAAAAACCTCTTCGTTTGACCACACAGCCGGTCCCAGTTGGTCCCAGCAGCTTCCAGGACTAGAAAGCTCTGTGATTGAGAAGGCCTTTTGTTACACAGCCTTTTTAYCCCAGGCTTCCGAGTACACGAAACCTAAATGAAACATGAGTTCATGCATGCAAATAAGCTCAAGAAAAAGACTCAAACAATAGAAAAATAACAAGAAGTGTGCAAGTTAAACTTCTAAGGTCAAAATCTTTCTAGCTGAAACAAAGAGGCTGCAGGACGTGCACACAGGCTCACCAGCCCTAAACCTTTTATTACTCACTCAACAGAGGGAACAGGTTCATTCGGGATTAAAAGAGCTGATGATTACTGGCTAGCAGTAGCTCCTAGAAGTGCCCTGCCTTCAACAGGCCTCCAAATCTCCTGGTCTTGACTCCGTTCCTAAACTATTACTGGGAGCAGCAGGACCAAAGCCAGAATTGTGAAGGGAACTGACAGAGTCTTAAGCTCACGCATGAGCCTGGAAATGCTCCAGTTGTGTGAGTCCCTCCTCCCCAATACACACGCTTGCCCCTGGCCCTCCAAAAATGCAAAGCACATGCAAAAGTGAGCATTTTGTTCGAGGCTATAACCAGAGATTTAGTAATAATTTGAATGCTTGACGTGCTCTCCTGCTGTAAAAAAAGGGTGATTAAAAAGGTATCAATGCTTAGAAGTGTGTTTTTGTACATTAGCTTCACTGGAYGTGAGGCACAGAGCCGGGCCGGGAGGCAGGCAGGAAGAGCAGCCAACTATCCTAACTGCTCTTGGGTCCTGCTTTAATGCACACTTTTGACCTATTCCAATAAACAGAAAACACTTAATTTTCTAATAAACTATTGAAGAAGAAAACAGGCTTCTTTGTATGGTGCATATCACAAACAGCTATTACATGCTCACAACTTCTTAACATTAGAAGACAAAAAAAAAGGGATTTCAATAAAGTGATATTTGGGTGATGTTCTACATCACTGTTTGAGGACAGTTCAATCTTGGTTCTGGATTAAATCTCGCTCTCGATTCATCTTGACAAAGAGAAATGAATAGGAAATCCAGGACCCAGAAACTGGGAAGATTTTATCTTTAAATCCAATTCACAACTAAAATCATCTCCCTTACAATGGACAGTTTTCCTACCCTTGCAGTTCACAGAAGGGTTGCGGTTGGAAGGGACCTCTAGGGATCATCCAGTCCAGCCCCTGCTCCAGCAGGGACACGCAGAGCACGGAGCACCCAGTTGCATCCAGGTGGGTCTGGGAAATCTGCAGAGAAGGAGACTCCGCAGCCTCCCTGGGCAGCCYGKGCCAGGGCYCCATCATCTGTACACTAAAGAAGTTCCTCCTCACGTGGCAAAGGCATTGCCGCTCTTGTGGGCTCTGTTACTAAAGATTTGGTAACGACTGGAATACGGGCCCCATTCTCCTGGGCTTTGTTTCCAAGTGGCCACAGTCTGCCCCAGCCTTGTGGCCAGCCTGTCCGCTTGTGGAGTCCGACATGGACTTCGGCCGTGCTGGACCTGGCACATGGAACAATTGGAGCTTTCTCCTGGCGCTGGGAACTTGTCCATCAGGAAGGGCCTGAGCTGCGTGGCAGTGGTCTGCGCAAGAGGACAGGGGCCATCACCCAGGCAGAGGCCAGGCTCAGGGATGGCACGGCTGGCTTCATTGCCAGAGCCACACAAGGACGTGTTCGTTCCAGCACCGAAAACGGCTGCTACAGTCACCACCAGTCAAGGCACTGGGAATACCATCCAAAGAGGAGCTTGAAATGGTGAAAAGAATTAAATCCAAGGCCTCTATTATGCAGCCTGGCAGCTTTATTTCAGCCAGGCAGCCAAGCTTGGGCMGGTACCCGATGAGGGTAAGGGAAGACAACAATCATTTCCTGCGTTTCATTTGGCTGATCTGCTTCACCCTCGCCAGGCTACCAGTCTTTAAATATTCCGARTAGAGGCTGTTGACTTTCTGCTGGGAGGTCACAGCGCCGTGGGCCAAAGCCAACCCGGCACTTCCCTCCCAGGCTGCCGGCTCCGCGACCGCTTCACCACAGAGATGTTAAGAAATAAGGTGCATCTAAGACGATGAAAACGGTTGTTCTCCATGAGGACTAAATGCTATTTATTTGGTACCGCAGCAAAGCTAGGTCAATTGCTAGAGTCTTCAGCAGAAGAGACGGCTCCTAGGAACGGTTTTGGATCATATACTCCTGCAACCACAACTTCCAGGGAAGGCAATTATATTTAAGAAATGACCTCTCAGAAACCACATCGACCATATGCAGTATGCGTTTCTCTGCATAAGGAGAGACAGAGACAGCGTGGCTGAGTGTGTACCAGATCCTTTACTTACTTTATGTTGATTTGTAGTGAGCTGGGCTCAATCCCAAGTTCTTGTGCTATCTAAAATTGACACGGGAGCCTCAGCCCGGCTGAGGACACTTGTCTTTCACAAAATCACCAAAAACCTTGGCCTGCTCAGAAAGGAACACGATGAGAGGTTTAAAAGACTGAACAGAGATGACGTTTATAGCTTTATAGCTATAGACTTTATAGCTCCCACTGCTCTCCCTACTCCAGAACGGGCGATTCCCAGGTTCAACAGTACATTAGTACATGTCAGTAAATTAGTCAGCTCTCCTCGGGGGCAGGGAAAAACAAACAAACAAAGCACCCAAGCAAGAAATATTATTATGGGACTAAAGAAAGTAACCGTAGAATATGACCAAGATGTTTTTGAAACACAAACTTGAAAGTTCACAACGCACAATCCAGGGATTCAAAATTGCTCTTCTACCATGTGAGTCAAACACGAACCTGACAAAAAGAGAGTGATAAACCAGAGTTTCCATTATTGGGTGAACACGAGAGGATCAAACATGGCCAGTCTGCCATATAATTGAGAAACCAACACACTGAGAAAACAAGAGAAGTTATTTATGCCCATGTTACATCCTGAGGTTTGGCTAAGTCAAGTCTCTGCCAATTGGGTTTGTGAGAAGGGATGCAATTTCTCTTTCTTCCAGATTTAACTCATATGCTATCTGCAGATTACAAGTAAATTTTTTTTTTAAAATGGATCTGAATTAGTCTTTCCTTTCAGTTGTCTCATTTGCCAAGCTCCTCAGACTGTTTAATTCTGTAAAATGTGGAATTCACTTGAGATAAAGTACACCTAGAAAGTCCAGTAATGCAGCAAACAGCTTGCTTCTCTACAGCTTTGGTCACCAGATAAGACAGGAAGTAATTCTAATACATAATATACAAGAAACAAAATTACTACTTTAAAAAATAATTTGTCCTATGAGATTTTTCTGCTGTTCTGGATTGCCTTCCTTAGAATATACTGACATAATTGTGGTGTATCCTATATATCTAAAATAATGACATACCCAGGGAGTTTCAGTTCAGACATAAGATGGCTCTCAAAGTATTGACTGTTTTTACTTTGTACACCTAGGTAGTCAAGCTCATCTAGCATTAGTTACAATTAGATCTGGACAACATGCCAAAAAGAAACCTCATCTTCTTTAAACAGGTTCAAATGATATCAAAAAAATGTTTGGCTATTGGGAAATCATCTGTTTTAATAAAGAGGCTCTAAAAAAGCCATGTTCTTTCATTTAGTAATAGGCCATGTCATTGCGATTAAACTGGCCAGTAGTTCTCGCTTTCTAGGACACTTTGGGGCTTCTGTGTTGATATCATAAGGACTAAAGGCTAGAAACCCTTTGGAAGAGTTGCTCCAAAGCTAAGCACTAATTACCAACGTAGGATCATGTATCAACTAAAGTCTTTGCAGGCAAAGTTACCTATAAATACTTCTGCACTAGTACTTCCATTTCACCTAGAGGTTGAATTATCTGCTCAAAATCCTGCGTTGGAAGGAAAAAGAATTAGTTCCTATTTTTTCCACTTCATTTAGACCCTGTAAAACATTACGTCCTACCATTAAAACTGCTTAATGAAGAGCACTAGAGTAAAAGGCTGACGTGATTCATGAACAATGCCTACTAAATGCTGGTGCTCTGCCAGAGCTTGCCACAGGTTAGATGTGCCAAAAAATGAAGGAATAAAAGAAAAAAAAAAAAAAAAAAAAAGGCGAGCCTGCTGTGACAGGACCTGGAGTCACCTGGAGTGACACCAGCGTGTCGCTCGTCAAGGGGGACGTGGTTCTAACACCGGTTCAAACGCAGCAGAACCCGGCAGCGAGGCCTCGAGCACCATCCGTGCGGGGCTCGTGCCGCTCTCCGGAGGCCGACTTCAAAGGTGAGGCTGAGCCCAGCACGGAGGGCTTCTCAAAACCTACCTCCCTGTAGCCCGCGCAGGCCTTCCCGGCAGGACACCGGGCTCCTCTCCTCCTGCATCGACTCCTAAGGGGTGAAATACATGACTATTCCTGCTGTTGTGCCTACCACCTTGATGATACTCTCTACCTGCTTCATACAGTGCTGCTCGACTGAATGCTCCCCAGCTTACTAAGATCAGCCAGAATTGGGCAAATCTCATCTTACAGGCACTTTGTGGCAACCAGAGACTATAGCTGRCACTTCCAGGGAAGAGACAGACAGACATTCTGTCATCAAAAAACAAAACTAAAAAGGTCCGGTAAGACTGGACTTTGCACTAGGAGTGGAAAGGATGGCAGGTCCCAGGGAGGACTGACGCCTTCGCTGGCGCATCCAGGCAATAGATGCTGGCTCAGCACACAGCATACATTCAAAATCTGCCCAACTCCAACAACTCACTGCTTTAAGGAGTTGCTGCCTCAGACTCGCTATACATGCAATGAGAGAGGGGAAAAAAGGTTATAGAAGAGGAAATGCAAAGGACGGTCCTTACTCAAAACCTTACAGCTGTCCAACTTATTATTTAAGCAGTGCCCTAAGAATCCATCAGAACATATCAGAGGTTAGACCAAGAAGCCCAACAGTAGTGCAGAAGTTTGGTGGGAAAGGAAAGAAATGACAGCTATACAGTTACTTAATTCTAAAAAGTAATGCTCTCTGAATACGAATC